CAAAGGTTTAATAGACACAGGCGCATCATGTTAATTAGGGCCTGACTGCGCACCAATGGTGTGAGGACCCTCTTGGAATGGCTCTGTTTATTTAGATTTAGATTTTAGATTGCAAGGGTGTTTGAATTGCGATCGCGATCTTTTAACGATTAACCGTGCAGCTCTATTTCAGTTCCGTCTCTACCCATAACTACATAGAAACCACACACCGATGTATTAAAAACAACTCAGAACATCTTAGCAACTGCAAAGCAATGACCAAGAACCCCCTAGCAACCAAATAGCAACACTCAATGCTCTACATAGCACAACATTCACATCACAGCAAAAAGTAAAAACAATCGCTGCATAGCAACCCACAACATTCAAGCAAAAACACAGCTATGTGTTAAAAACAATTCAGAACACCTTAGCAACTGCATAGCAACCAGCCAGAACCCCTTTGCAACACACTAAAAAAACACTCAGAAAAACTTAAAGGGATACTCCACTTTTTTTGGAAATAGGCTCATTTTACCACTCCCTCAGAGTTAAATTGTTGGGTTTTACCGTTTTTGAATCCAGACAGTTTCTGGTCTCATTGACTTCCATAGTAGGAAAAAATATACCATGGAAGTCAATGAGACCAGAAACTGTCTGGTTACTGATATTCTTCTAAATATCCGAAAATCGGCTGAATGGATTCAAAAACGGTAAAACCCAACTGTTTAACTCTGGGAGAGTGGTAAAATGAGCCTATTTCCAAAAAAAAGTGGAGAATCCCTTTAACAACTGTATAACAACTTCCTGTCAACACCTTAGCAGTTTTTGTTCTTCAGAAATGCAACTATTTATTTTGTAATTGTTTTCAGGCCATGTTGTTAGCTGCACTAGGTGGCTTAAATACACGCACAAACACAGTCATCAAGGATGCTTTTGATCATTTCGGCATAACCACTCTAGTCCTTTTGTTGCTGATGTTTGCGTGTGCTGTTACTAGGTCTACCCTTGATTCAAGTAGTCTGAAGTGCCTTTTGAGCTCTTTTTCAAGGCCCTTTAAAACTCTGAAACAGAGAGCATGGTCACGCAGAGGCTTGTTTATTATTCTTTTAAGGTCAATCCTCACATTAGATAAAAATGTGGGTGAGGTGGATTTTATGTAACATTGAGCTGGTTCAGTCCAGTTGGCCCTGTCATCCCCTCAAAAACACATTTCAGATGAACCTTAAATCATCCAGCTGTGAAATTTTTAGCTCACTAGTCAACAACGTCCACATTCTCGGGCCTGAAAAAATGCGTTGGAACCAGTATGTGTGCATTGATATTGTGCTCTGTCATTGAACGCCCTATGACGACATTACATCAGGACAATCTAAGGTTGCAAAGCACAACCTGGTCAAAGAATAACTAAAAGCATTTGCATTGCGATCAAACAGGAAATCATGGCTTAAGAGAAACTACAGATAAAATTAATTCATTGAAGCTATAAGAGAGTATGTAGTTTCACTTAGCATTAAGATTTCAGATTAAAATTAAAACATATAGTAGGTCCGTAAAAATTTCGGACACTTCAGAGAGACTCAGAGAGAAATATCTCACAGTCACAGCCATTGCATTAGATATCACATCAAACCAAGCACCATTTGCAACCAAACCACATTGGACCTACTCACAGAACTAACGTCAGAGTCATTTTTCACAATGTTTTTTTTTTTTTTTCAACGGCTGTGTCAGTGATTTCATACAGGTGTCCTAGCAGAGTAACCACAGGTGTAGTTTATCTCATTAACTATGAACATGATCCACTGATTTTTGACATACACAGGGTAACTTACATTGATTTTGTCTTCGTTTTGAACAGTATGTCTATTTTTAAACCTAACAAATTTATTTTTGTGAACAAAGCTTCATAAAATAAATACCATTTGATTTGACATTTTGTTATCTAATGCAATGACACCAAGATATTTTATACATGACTATGACATACATATATTTATATAGCCTACAGTAGAGTAGGTACCAAATCAGTACTAAAATTTAAAAAATGTGACGCTTTGAGCGATGTTGATCAGAATCGTTCTTTTACGATTACGGAATACTCAACAGCGTTCAAAGCATCATTATTTTTAAATCTCAGTACCAACTTGGCATTAGTACTTTTGACAACACTAATATACAGTATATGGGCAATGGTGTATGGAGCGAATTATGTGCCAAAACTTCACACACACTCAAAGCATGTTTTACTCACACCCAATGATTCACAAACAAACTCAGTGTGGTTTGTAAATACAAAACATCACTCGCAAACTAATGCATATTGTTCTGCAAATAAAAAACGTACCTATGAAACAAATACAGTATGTTTTACATATACATGGAAATGTATTTCTTCAATGACAAAAATATCCTCCAAGTACAAACTAAAATATTTCAAGTACAAAAAAAATTACTTCAAGTAAAACAAAAACCTTCAAGTGCAAAACAAAATTCTACAAGAACAAAACAAAATTCTACAAGTACAAAACAAAATTCTACAAGTACAAAACAAAAACCTTCAAGTACAAAGCAAAATTCTACAAGTACAAAACAAAAACCTTCAAGTACAAAGCAAAATTCTACAAGTACAAAACAAAATTCTACAAGTACGAAAAACTGTCACGTGACTTTTGGCACTATTTTTCCATGTCCAGGCAGATTTTCTCATAAATGCAGTTGAGCAACTTCCTATTCTAGAACAGTAGATGGAGCTACGATAGGGGATCAATTTTGCGCTAGTCTCTCGGGAGCAACAATGATGTGAAACGCGCGCGTGCAAAGAGGTTTTGGTAAATGTTTATTATATAGACAGAAATCCACATTTTGAGTGTGTGTGTGTGAGGTTTTGGCACATAATTCGCTCCATACCGAACGAGCTAGCTAAAATTAATTTCTAAAGGTAAAAATATGTCTATACAAAACAAATATTTCTCATAAAACAAAAGTAAAAATAATTTAAAAAAGCACAACAGCCTGCACAATTCACCAAAAGCCAATGACCTTCAAAGAAAATATCTTCAAAAATATTTATCCAGAGGTCATTAGGTCAGTGCCAAAATTCCAATATCACACCATCATCAGTGTCTTTGCACACCTTATCTTATTATAAATTAGTTTATACGACCATAATTTGTCGTATTTACATATAAAACATTTACCATAGCAAATACATTTATGTTGAAATCTATCAAACAATTAGCTACATACTGTATACCTCATCTAATAACATACAATCCTGGGCAAAAAAAGAAAGAAAGAAGGGCCAAGCCAAAAATGGCAAAATATTCCGTGGTCTTAATTATTTTGATCACAGATCAGGAAATTTAATAGCAAGAATTTCAAAACTACTGTAGATAAAGTAACAGCACAGAATAGCCCTAACTTGAAGACAGCTTTATACAGGAAGAAAAGTCAGTGTTGTTCTTCAATGTTAATGGCTTCAAATAGTTCATGAGTAGGGTTGGGTATCGAGAATCGAGTATCGATTGGAATCGGGACTAACTTTTAGTTTTTCCCGGAATCGTTCAAAAGTTAAAATTTCGATTCCTAGTTTCGATATTCACAGTCCGCCGACCGGAAGAAGAAACCGCTGAACAACATCAACGAAGAAGCGTCTACCGGAAGTGTTGGCATGACCGCACGAGTCGAACATGAGTAGCTTTGTCGGCGGTCCAAAGTGTGTCTTCACTTTTCTAAAAATAACGAAATCTCGGCAAAATGCAAAATTTGTGACAAAAGGAGTATTTGTGACAGAAGGAGTATTTCCTTCAGAAAGACCATTGGTTAGCTAAACTTTTTTGACCCTGCCTCTTAAAAGAATCGGAATCGAGAATCTTTAGGAACCAGAATTGAAACAAGGAATCGGAATCGGAATCAGAATCGTTCAAATTCAAACGATACCCAACCCTATTCATGAGTAGTTGAAATATGTCTCCCGGTTCGTTTAAGTTTAATGTGAGACCAAATATTCACTATAGGGTTGAAATCATGAGCCTAGTGGACTTGTTCTCAAGCCACTTCTTGGTTGTCTTTGCAGTTTTATATATTGAGCAGCATACGCAGTTACCTGAAAGTGCTTTCCTAAAATTGTTAGTTCACCCAAATATTCTATCATCAATATTGTTTCAAACCCATAAGAGTTTTGTTTATCTTTAAACCCCCAAAATATCTGTCCCTCCATAGAAAGTCTGTGCAACCATAAATTTGATGCTTCAACAAGTTCATTAACACATTACAAACAAAATTAATTTGAACTGACTGGTTTAATCCAAGTCTTCTGCAGAGGCAGTCACTTTATATAATGAACAGATTTAGTTTAGACTTTAATTTACATATAAATACTGATCAACGCACACACATTGAGACAAACAACTTGTGTGGCATTACAAAGAGCTAAAAAATCTGGATGACGTAAAGCTAACATTTTTAGTAACATCTTTAAACAACAACCAAACCCAAACCCAAAACAGACTTGTCATTCTCTCTCAATTGAGCTACATTATTCCACGAAGCACCCTTTATAAATCCAGTTTTGCATGTTTTAAAATATCAGTACTTAAAATGTCAATTCTTTTAATATTTAACAGAGTTAAAACAAGGCTGTGGACAAGAGGTGTATACTCTGGTGCCCAGCAATGTCATGTTTGCAGAAAGGATAACCAAAACCAACCATCTTACACAACAGCACATAGACTTATTAGAATATTCGCTTCAGGACAATACTCATCCTACATGAAAGGCTATTTCATTTAATAGTTTCTTAAAACATATTATCTAACTATAAGAGAGAACATATTAACATTCCTGAACTGACTTTCAATAGCCTTCTGCCCCATCAACACACACACACACACACACACACACACACACACACACACACACACACACACACACACACACACACACCTGCTGGTGGTTTCAGCTGAGCTTTAATACCCACGGGTGGGGTTACATACACACTGCCGTGTTTAAACAAGACTCACGGTCAGCTGAATAGCCTCCTCCTCCTTTTTCTTTCCAACCTGGTGGCACAGGTTTGTCTCACCTTATTTCGGAAGCACGGAAGATCAGAAGTCAGCAGGAACAGCGTGCAGCTGTGAAAACTGATTCCCAGCAAACAAATCCCCCCTCAGGCCTCTGTCGGTAAGTTTATCCGTATTTCTGTATCAGTGGTCACGAACACAGGGAAAAGTTCATGGTGATTTGTTTGTAAGACAGAGTTGTTTTTATTTAGGAATGATTTGGTGAAAAATGAAAAGCTAGAGTCTTTTGGATGTCTTAACCAAACATAGAGCTTATAATATAATTTTAAAACTAAGCAATACAAAGTTACAATAACAACTGAGCTTATAATGTTACAATACTTTTTTGACAAACATATCACGGTCACAACCGTGTTGTTTTCCGAGTATCAGCACGGTACGTTAGTTTTAAACCAACAACGTGATTGCAAATGTGATTTTTATATAAAATAAATGATAATTTTAAGTCAATAACTTACATTTTAGGAACAATTTTGCCAGTATCTTAACTTTTTCCCAAATCCAAACCAAGAAACCAAGACGACCGCAAAAGTCTAAAGTCAGACCAAAAACAAAACACAGAGCGTTAACGTTCGTGAGGTAACCGATTCGTTTTAATGAATCGGTTGAGTGAATGATTCAATGTCTGATTCTGAAAGGCTGAATTCAGAATAACATATTACTAGGTAGACCAACAGTCCTGTTTTCCCAGGACTTGTCTTCACGTCCTGTTCTGGCTGTTTTTATAAAGTGATGAAAATGCCCTGGTTTTCACAAAACTGCTGGGAAAGATCAGCTCTACAGTAAAATATGGGCAAACAAGGAGCATGAGGAAGAAAAACAGGAGAGGAATAAAACAGGATATAAATATTTTGTTAGTTCGTTTTTGTAACCTCCGAGAAGCCTATCTGAATTTGTGTCTTGTAATATAATTTTCTATCCATACACGGAGGCATAGCCTACTTTAAATGTATTGAAATTAATAAGGCATCTTTGAGTAAACTTCGAGTATAATTTGAGGAACTGTTGTTTCACCATAATAAAAGCATAATACTAACCCTCTTTTCTTTCATGTTTGGAACACATACGAAGATGTTTTTAATAAAATCAGAGCAGTTTCTGTCCCTCCATTGACTGCTACGCAAGTTTGACTCTTCAAAAAGTGAACAAAGAGATTGTAAAACTTAATACGAATTGATCAGTTTACTCCAAATTTTCCGAAGAGACTTGTTCGCTTTATGACGAACGGTTTGAATTTAAGCTTTTATTTACATAGTTCATTCATTCAAATTGTGTAATATAGTTAGTGGGAATAGGTCTTGTTGTATAATGTTTAAAATGTCTTGTCAGGCAGTCTCCTATTTGGAATGCAAAAGCCTTGATTATTAATTTCTGCCCTTCTTCTCCAGCCTGACACCATGAATATCTCACTTGAGAACCCCTACGGAGATGTCGCCATCCCTCGTGCCAAGTTGCGGGATGAGGGTGACTCCAGCACCATCATCATGAACCCAATGGCGTTAGAGAGCGCCTATAACAACCGTAATTCCGCCTCAAACCCCTACAGCAGCTTCAAAACTCCAGGGGAGATCAACACCTCGGGCGTTCCGGTTTACGGAGAGGCCAGGAACGGCAGCCAGAACCCCCCTCCTTACAACAACCAGCCAGGATACACGGTGAAGGAAAGCGACGAGCAGGTGGGACGCTGCTACGCCTGTTGCTGCCCGTGCCGGAGGAGGAAGTAAGACCAGATGATGTTAGGAACCATTATTCAGCCTCCCAAATTTTGAAAGCCATATAGTTCTAAAATGACTGGATTATATGGAACCTTAGCCCTGGACACCATACTGTGGTTTGGACAAAACAAGAGCTGACCTTCTGTGCCTGCACCGAAACTTGTTATATTAAATATTTACTTTTGGATTACTATGTCAAACAGTGCTTTGTTCAATTGGCACAGTTAAGTTTGACTGGATTACTCTTTGTGGACCACTTTGAAGTAGCCTTACCTATGTGTGCCTCATACAATGGCATGCTGAGATACTCCCCTTCATTCTAGCATTACCCATTTGTTCACTCACTCACTTAAACTAAGTTTTTTGAATAATGTTGTTGTTAATGGAGTGCTTCTTTAAATTATAATGACACTGAACTGGTGTACACAGAGGTGAGGCTCTCTTCACAATACGTCCTGGTGGGCTTCATTTGGTTTTTGAGCCACACCCTGACGTGCCGTCAGACACAGGTCAGTGAAACTTGAGGAAGAACTCTCATTCTTTTTCTAAAGAATATACAAAAGGACACTATCATCTCTTCCTGCACAAGGAGTGTTGTGGCATCCGAGTTTCTACTGAACAAGCTTTTCTGGTTGCTGTAGACACACTTCTGACGCATTGTGTCTATTGGTTAAGCTGCCAAAGAGACAGTTCAGTGGAAGATAAAACTGTTCTAGTACTGATATTATTTTATCATAAGTAATATTATAGTTAAATTTAATAAAATGGGGCATGACTGTTTTTTTGTCCATAAGACTGAGCCTGACTACTAAAATATGCCAACCAAAAATGTTTTAGATGTCTGTATTATATGTTAGGCACGTTGATCAATATATTTTTTGATACATAAAATCACTTTTGTCTCCATAAACGGTTGTCTTTTTACTTAATAACTTACTCGCTGCTTTTGACGAGGTCTTTGTGACGTCAAATTCTTTGTAGCTGAGTAAAGGCATATACGCGGATGAACCGGTTTGGGATGCAGTGGCCTTAGAGCAAGTTCCTGGAACAACAGATAGTCACATGGAGTGTAGAACAGCTTGTTAATAGGTGTAATTTAAAGATGCTTTGTGGAATTTGTGCTCAGGGTTATATACTGCCCACTATTGATATACAGCACTGTTCAATTAGATTTCTTTAGATTTATTGTCAGCAGCATAGTGCCAGAGTCAACAGGAAATTATGAATTCAGAGGGAATCACTCACTATTTAAAAGTTAAAAACTTTATCCAGTTTTTATGTTATTTTTTTTAAAGATATTTGCTCAATTTCTTTTTGTGTAAGACTAAGAAATGTTATGTTTGCTATCAAACTGTCCCCCTGTGTGTTCCCATACACACAGTGTTGGATGCAATTAATTACTCTTAATTTTTATGTAATTGCATTAAAGTTGGTTCATAAGTTCACCCAAAAAAAATTCTCAAAAATTTACCTCAAGTTGTTTGATTCGTCCGCGTATAAAGGCATATACGCGGATGAACCGGAGAAGATATTTTACAAAAGAAGATATTTTTAAGAATGTTGGATCCCAGACAGTTGATGGCACCCATTGACCAGTAGGAAAAAAATACTATGGAAGTCAATGGCTACCTGGTATCCAACATTCTTTAAAATATCTTCTTTTGTGTTCATCAAACTCATACAAATTTGGAACAGCTTGATGGGAAGTAAATTATGACAATTTTCATTTTTGGGTGAACTATACCTTTAAATACTGCATTGACTGTACAATTCTATATAAAACAATAGTGGATTGAACATCAAAATTGAATGTCTACATTAGAGTCTACATTAGATACACTAGAACATCAAAATTGAATGTCTACAAAATCTGTTTTAATGCAACCTTCTCACTTTAAATACTTTGGTCATATTGCAAATAATTTATGCAATTTTATATTATTTATATGAAAGAATTCATGTTGCCGTTTCATGCCTTTGCTTGTATCTGGTTGATATTGATATGGGATTTAGAAAGCAATTAATAATAAGTCATGCAATACTTTTTAGAGAGAGTAATTATAACAGTCATCATATTAAACTGTTGAAGATGTGATTAGTAGCTAGTCATTAATTATATTTTTAGAGTAGCCTAGCTTAACCAACACTGTACACGCATGATTAATCCCCTTGTAAAACCCATGGTAATACTTCAAAAACTGCAATTTCATAAATTAATGTCGGGATCTCATTCAAACAGCTTTGAGAAGCTTTGATGAACTTTTGTCTTTTTTTTTTTTTTTGACAGTGGTGGTTACTATCAAGTTTACACACTTTTATTGAAAGAGCAGTTGGTTAACTGTTAGTAGGCTACTAAATATGGTATTTTGGCTGAAATTATGGTTATGATGATTTTTTGTAAGGCTAGTTTACACTGTCACTTGTTAATAGTGACCGGTTAAAATTATATGGTTAATTTAATTTAAGTTATGATGGGTATAATATGTAGTCTATCTATATCATTAATATACATACATGTATATATTTCATAAAGAAAAAAAAATAATATATATATATATATATATATATATATTTACACACGATTAAGGGGGAAATACCTAACAAGGACAAACGTGCTTAGTTCTTAAGAGATGAATGAAAATAAATATTTATTTGGTTCTCAAGTAAATAAACTTTAGTTGCAGACTTCATTTAGCGCCAGTAGGGGGAGTGCGCTTATTTAAAATACACCCCTCAGGAACCCATACCTGACGATGTTTTCTCTGCCTTGTTATAATGGGTTCGGATGGAAATACCATGGTAGCGATGAATTGCCATATTTAAGCATATGTGATACTGAAGTTGCTTAAATACCCGTCTAAATCATTCTTAACAAGCCACACGTGAAAATGCGTACAGAAAAACGCATGGAAGCAAGTCATGCCGCCAATGCGGCATAATGTTGTTCTCATTAAAAAACATAAACCTATTTTTATTTGTTACAACTATACCCGGTCTCCCCTACTCATTTTGATGTTGGGAAGAAATGAAAAAATAATGTCAACAACTGTATTTACTTAGCTAATGATGCAAGTTTTTCACAGCAGTGGAATGGGCTGGTAGCCTACAAATGATAACTACATGTTCGCTGAAGGTCATTGTAAAGTTCAAGGCTTATTAAAAGAGGCGTGTCTTCGTCCGCGTGAGTGTGTTGCTCTGACTGTGATTGGAGGATGGAAAAGAAACGAGAAGCTTCTGAAAGTGAACAGGCGGGCGCGCCGGGAGGGGTCGCGAGGGCCGTCCTCGTCCTGCTGCACTCACTCGATTCCGGGTCCTGAGACTCCTGACTGTCTATGGTCCTGACTCCCACCCTTAGTTGGAGTCGATAGAATCAATTCCCAGAATCAACAAGGGTCAGTAATACCTTTATTAAAACAATTTAGAAATAACATTACCTTGAAATGACGTCACCATAGTTTCCAAGTGGTTTCCAGTAATGCCCAATTTTAAAGAGGCAAAACTGAAAAAATCACGAGGAAAAGCAAAACTCTTTTTGAAGTCACTACCGGTCACTACTGCACTGGGGCGCTTTGTGTGCTTGTAGGTTGTAAGATGTCCTAATTAGGTAGCTGACAAGTAACGTTAACCACAAGCAGAAAATATTAGATTAAAATCTGCATAAATCGAGCAATTAATCACATTAGTCATGTGGTTATAACATCTTAATATTCTATGCACTCTTTAAATTGATATAAGTCTTTTTAATGAACAATTTAAAAAAAATGCCCTTTAAATAATTTAAACTAAAATAAACGTTACACTGCTTGATAGTGCTCCATTACATCTCTTAATCCATATTCCACTGAGACCTTCATTATTAATCAGCATTACATAATGATGAATGACTTTCCTCAAATACCATGGTCCGATTACTCCTTTTTACATTCCCCATGTATAAATATACAACTTTCCTGAGAAGCTTATTGTACTAATCCACCAGAAACTGTGGATATTAACATTGCACTTCTTGTTTTGCCTTTAACGGTTATAAAAAAACTGCCAAATACTTCACAAATTATTGAAGGGGTAAGCCAGCACTCACGAGTACCTGATCAAGCAGCAGCAACCCTTAAGGAAAAGCATTTTAGTCGAAATGTTACCCAATGATGGAATCAAATGATTACTCCAATATCACAACAACAAACTTTTTATATAATCTTCAAAATTTATTATTGACATGTTTCTTGCACTTGGATCTAGTTTGTAATTAATGTCTATGTTACATAAATTGTATTAATAAGACTTTTCTTTTAAAGAATTTCCACAACAAGCTGTGCTTGGTGCACAGAAAAGCCCAGTGTTTGGTTTTCAAAACATTCAAAGCAAAATTTCCAGAGTCCTCTCCCTAATCTTCATACAGGCGTGGTCTAGAAGATTAAGGGAGTCTGGAGGGTCTTTATCCTTCGTTTGGGGTGTAGAGTCTGTTGCACTTGCTAGGTGCTGGTTAATCAAACAAAGAAAAGTCCAAGAACACAAGCCATAAGATCACAAGAACTCGGATTCATATCAAAAGGGCAAAAAAACGTGTGTTAGTAAAAAATATATCTTGCGTTTTGGCACTAATCAAGTTGAGACAGCAAAATACTTTACATTAATCTCCCAACTAATCGCTAGACCAACAAGCAAAGGCATAATTCAACGCCAGAGAACAACGGCAGTGATTATTGGTCACATGTCTTTCCAAAACTCTTTCATAGCGAGTAAATGTGGCCACGATTTTACTGTCAAAATGGCTTGCACCTTGGTGAAGAGCAAACGTTGGACGGTTTTAAAGATGAGTGTCTGATAAAAATGAAGGAACCAAATAACGATGGTCTCTCCTACATTCCCAAGGCTTGCAAAGTTAGCTGTGGAAATCTTCAAACCCTTCACACAGGTCGACTCCAGCCGAAGGCAATATGGGCGAACACAGAAAAAAACAAAACAACCGTTTTACTAAAAACAAAATAGAAAAATAATTTAGAGCCCAAAAAAACTGGATGGCATTTCATGGTAAACAAATATTTTACAACATGATGGTCTAAGCATTGCCTTAAAAGTATTTTACAACAACAACAAACAAAAAAATCTAACAAAATGACTGGGAGAACCCAATGGCAATAATGCAACAGTGGTGGTTGTGTGAGTACATATGAACACACATGTATCTCAGTTTAAACAGAGTACATCTCTGCATATGTGAGTGTATTAGTTTTTGAGACCCTGAATGCATCTACACACAGATTAGCGTGTCCATCAGTAGATTCTGAACCCCTCTCGTCTGCGTTACATCGTCCCGAGAGGTTCTCCAAAACGGATCTTCTGGCCTGCTTGCAAATTAAAGGTAAAATCCCGTGGAGCTTCGAATAACAGTACAATAGTGGAGCCCAAGTTGAACTCGCCCAGGTGCTCTCCTTTTCTCATGCTCACGCCTTCCTGGTTGTTGTTTGTTACGTAACTGAAATCGTTGTAAGTTCCTTTGTTGTACCGAGGGTTGTTGGTACGGAGCTCCTAAAGAGAAAAAGCAGCTTGTTAATGTCGATCCACTAAAACAGAATTGGCACAAGCCTTTTAAAAATCCAACTTACAACAGATGGGAAACCTCCCTTTCATTTTAATATGGATAAAATCCAAATCCATTAGAATTAGCAAAAACTATTTTTTAATTTAAGAAATGCACCAGGGTTACAGCTCAATCCTGCTAGTGAAATACCACTTATCAAGTCAGGATACAACAAACAGGTGCTACTGCCATCTACTCATCTCACCCATTAACCCACATTTTTACCCGCTACCGTCTAGTGGTCTGAATTCGGCCCATTACGAATGAGGCCAAATCCACTCAAAGCAGTGCAGCTCAATATTCTGTTAATGTTGAAAAACCACAAGTACATCATACGCCAACAAGAGTGATTCTGTGGCTATACAGCCATTAAACAATATAGGCCCCGAAATAATGAACAACAAGCTGGTGACAATTTCAAACAATATCATCTCAAACGTTCGAAGCTGCTTTGTACTCGTTTAAACTTGTTGCTGGTGTCTCTTAACCCAGCCTTTCTCAAACTTTTTTCAGTCAGGGCACCTTTCAAAAGTGCATAAAATCTCAAGGCACCCCAGTGTAAAATATAATTTAAAAACACTGCATAATCCAAATGTAAATGCAAATGTCTTGTTTAGTTAGACAGAACAGTAATGAACATAGCATAATATGAACTGTAAATAACAATAATAATAAAAACTGTATAGTACCTTTAAAAACAAAGGTTTGCAAAGTAATTCACAAAATAATTAATCAGAGACACAAATGCCATAAAACCGTAAGAGATGGACCGCCCAATACAAGAACCCAATAACAAATCCAGACCAGGAGAACTCAAATGAAGTGCAGGATGCAGTTAAAATAAAATAAAAAGGGGAAGACATTAATATATATATATATATATATACACAATGCAATAAGAAAAAGATGCACGTTAAAAAATGCACCAGAGATAAGCAGGAATGTTTTTCCATATAGTGCTTGTTTTTTTATCCATGCCATGCACACACACACACACCCACATACACCCACACACACAAACAATAATCCACAACAAGAGAGGGAGAAAGATCTACATGCGTGCATGCAGCGCGTATACGCGCTCACACAAGCCAGGGGTGGGGGTGACCACAATCGAGACGTGAGCCTGGTGCGACGCACACAGCCGCCCTATCCTGGCAGGGTTGGATGAGAGG